CTAAATCACAGTTAATGTTTTCCGTAGATACGGGGACAAACTGATTCTTTCATAAGGACACAGGCAAGAGGGCTGCTCACCGGGGGTTACAGACCCCCAAATCTGATTCAGTCCAGTGCAGAGAAGTCAGCTTCTGAAGATAGGTTAAGTGCCTTTATCTGCAATCGCAGACTTTTGTGTTTACCTAGCTTGGTTTAATCCAAGTGACTGGAAGGAATTGTAGCCAACTCTCTATTGCTCATAGTAACAGGGTACAACAGTGACCTGGGACATCAGGGGAAGAAAAAAAAACACAAAGTGTGGATTTATATATAAGCCCCAGACTAACCTTAATCACTGTAACACTCTAATATTAAATTAGTTAGCCATTTCCCACACAAATACTGACCAGTAACAAAGAGGTCTATTTTGGGTTAAAATGAGTAGATAATGCCACTTCAAGAAATGTTTTCTAAGCTTGGATCTTGATAGTATTACTTGTCTTTGGTCACATTTTCCCTCCCAACCTGCCACATCCCAGAAATAGTATGCTGGTGATTTATGTCTGTAGGTAGGGTTGGAGGAATCAAGGTATGTAGAAAAACCAGATTTTGTCACGTTGGTGGAGAAACATCAAAGCCGGGAGCAGTTCTCTGTATTTCATCACATGCTTGTTTTCACTTCCAAGAAAGCAGAGCTGAAATGTGCCTTCAGCCCAGAGACAGGTGAGAAGTGACCAGGAGGCGGCAGGAATGTTCAGCAAACTTGAGGACAGCACAGCGCGTCTGCCAGAGCGACGGCTGTGCCACATGTCCCCAGCACTTCAGGGCTGCCCGCTCTCAAACCCTGTTGCTCCTGGGTCACGGCAGGAAAGAGGTCCTGATGATTTTCAGTTATTTCTTGCTTGACATGTTCTCCTGGCTTCACGTCTTGTTTTGCGTTTGGAACAGCCAGTGCGGTGTCTGTGTAATAGGAACCGGCAGGGCCGCCTTAGGATGCGGAAGCTACGCTGGGGCAGTGAGGGCCCCCTCACTGGCTCTCTCCCGAGAAGTACCGTTTTGTGGGTAGTGGCATCTCTCGTTGTTTATACAAAGGAACCATGGAGGTTTGCTAGCTGGGCGTGACCCTTCGGCGGCTGCATTCCCTCGTTCCCGAACGCAGTGCGAGCGCCTGCGGCCCTGTGATCTCGGGCGCTCCCCGTGGAGAGGAAACAGGTGCCACCTTATTAAGGCAGGGCTTGCTGCAAAAGCACCGCGGTCCCTGGCCCCCCTTCCCCTGCAATCAGCGCTGCTTCCCCGCTGGTTCCCATGCCCATCTGCACCCGCACGGCTGGCCAGCAGCCTTCCTGTCCTTATCCCCGGGACGCACTTCTTGCTCCAGTGCGAAGGCAGGCTGGAGCCGTCAGCAGGCCGAGGGGCTCCGGGGCCCGAGGCCTGCGAGAGGCAGGCGGCGTGGGTGGCTGCACGGGCCTGAGGCGGGCGGCGCCAGCGGCTCGCAGACAGCCCAGGCCCGGGGAAACGATGCCATTGACGTTTGCGGAGACGAGCGCCTGCGCTTTGAAAAGCTCGTTCCTTGACATCATCGCCTTCATTTCTCAGTGAAGCTACCTACCAGACTAGAAAACATGGAAGGGGGTCAGAATGTGATGAAGACGGCAGTAGGCCCCAGACACCAGGCACAGGGCTGAGAGCCGTTCACGCGCTGTCAAAGCCCCTCGTTTCCCAGGGGTTTTAGGGAATTGCCGACCAGGATGAAAAACACTCCCCGGGAGGAGTCCTCGAACATTCCCACCGTGTTAGGGGAACAAGCGCAGGTCCCGGCGCCCGCCAGCCGCACAGCCCGCTCGCGCCCAGCCTCTGGCCATCCGGCCTGCGCGGCGCTCCGGCTGCGCCACGCGACGCTCCCCAGTTCTCCTTTTATGTTTAAATGTCTTGATGGCAGCGAAACATGTGTAACATGGAATGTACCATCGTAACTGTTTTAAGTGTCCAGTTCAGCAGCGTCATGTACACTTACACTGTTGCGAAGATCTCCAGAACATTTACATGTTGGAAAACTGGAATCCCACCCGTTCCCAGCAATTGCCTCCCCCTCCCCCGAACCGCCCACAACCGCCACTGCGCCTGTTTCCGTGAGTTTAACCACTCCAGGTTCCTCAGTAAGTGGAATCACGTATTTGTCTTCTGTGACTTTTAAAAAAAGTTTTTGAAAAATCCTTACCCGAAGTATGTTTTACTGATTTTGGAGACGGCAGGGGTGGCTGGGGAGGGAGGGAAGGTGGGGGAGGGTCGGGGAGAGAGAGGGAAATACCAACGTGAGAGAGAAACAAGGATCAGCTGCCTCCCGCATGCGCCCTGGTGGGGGATTGGACGCGCCCACTTTCCCTGGCTAACTCCTATGCATCCTTCAGGGGTCCACTCAGACATTATCAACCCAGGCTTCCCGCGGTCCCCCAGTCTCACCCACTTGGAGTTGTCTGTTCTAACCCCTTGATCCTTCAAGTAAAGAGCGGTAAAGAGCGGAGTCCTCCTTGGCGTGCACCTGAGAGCTTGTTAAAAACACACAGCACTCTAGGCCTTTAGTAAGATCCCAGGTAAATCACACAGACTCTCAGGTCTGATACGCATTGTTCTAACTCACTAGACGAGGGGTCTGTCTGCAAACCACTCATGAGCCAAAATCTGGCTGGCTGCCTGTTTTGTAAATAGTTTTATTGGAACACAGCCACAGTCATTTGTATATGTATTGCCTGAGCTTTTATGTGACAATGGAAGAGCTGAGTCGTTGCAACAGAGACCAACAACACATGGTCACAAAGCCTAAAATATCGCTTCTCTGGCCCTTAACCAAAAAAGTCTGCTGGCTGCTTTACTAGGCTACAGGCTTCTTCCAAGGGGGAGCCCGGCCTTCTTTTGCTTTGAAGGAAGGCAGGTGATGATGTGGGCTAGAGGGCACACCAACAGGGCTTACGGCAGGTTCTGCCATTTCTTTGCAAGTGACTCTGTGCATGTTCCTCATCTATAAATGGGGACATATAATAAAACCTACTTAGAGGGTCGATGTGTGGATTAAATGTTACTGTACATGAAATGCTTCAAGTGGCACCTTCAGCAAATGTCACCTCTTAGCTAGGACCAGGTATTTTTAGAGGATCATGGGGGATTTGTTGACGTTGGCAGAATGACCCATGTAAACAGACACTGCCTATCAACATTCATTCCCTGCTTCTTCTTTGCGAACATCTAATGATTTTCTTTAGGTATCTCACCTTCCTGCAGGGTGACTTCCTCTCTGGGGGCCGAGTACTATTGCTAGTCAATCATGATAATGCCGTTCTCAGTGTCGGGGGATCAGCTCATGGGTAGGCACTTTCTGGCCAATGGGTCATGACAAAACTCTTGAAGGGCTTCTGGGAAACTTTCCTAGTTCTTTGAAAGAAAAAAAATGAAAGAGATGCCCCCTATTCCTTCATGGATATTATTTTTATATGAATGTGCTGCCCCACACTGCACCAACTGTGAAGGCAGACAGTCTGAGACGAGACTTCCATGTTTACAACGGCAGAGCAGAAGGATGGCGAGGATCCGGCCCTCTCTGAGGTCAGAGTTGCTGAAGCCATTAACCCCCGGGGCTTACCTACTCAGGTACTACTTTATGGAAAGACAATAAATTTTCCTAGTAGTTTCAGTCCAAAGCATCCTAACTCGTATCACCAGGGACCATGTTTACTCATATTTTTACTTCACCCAGGACCTAACGACTGTTGCTGGGTACGATGAGGGGAGGAAATGTCTCTGGAAAACGAATGGGTTTGGTAGGTAAAAAAAAAAAAAAAAAAAAAAAAAAAAAAAGGATAAACGATGTCCTGGGTAAGAGCAAGCCCCACTCTTCACTGCCTTTCATCACTCGTGCCTGGGAGTGTCATTCCCCACACCTGTGGCTCTCTCCCAAATGCCTATCTCCCTTGTTGTTTGAACTGGTTACCCCAGTAACGAGATGACAGGTTGTTTCACAGCCAGATGGCTTTTGATTTCCTTGGCGATATCCACTATTTCCCCTTTGGGGAGAAGGAGGGTATGAAGACAGCTTATCTTTTTGGGGCACAGTGAGTACAGGTGGGGTGTCTTATGTAACACGAAATACATGAGTTTCTGGGGGGTTAGAAGTGCCCAAAGATTCCTTAGAATTTATAGCCACAGGGCTTTTCTGGTGTGTTAGCTTATGTGCTGGTTTTGCACCACTTCTGAGCCAGGACTAGTAGCAGAGATTCAAAGCAACGGAGGTGGCTACATAAATATGAGGGTAAAGATGGGGACAGATGGTACCTGAAGACAGGGTACCGCCTGTCTAGCACCGTGGCCCTAGGTGACGGAGGTAAAGGATCAACTCCGATAAGTCAGCTGGGCTTGCGCATTTCCATGCGGCTACAAATGCTCACCAAAGACAGGCGTGCTGACCTCCTTCTGCCTGTAGAGGTCTAAGGGTAAGAGATGCTTGTGAAACTTTGGAGTCCTAAAAATCATGGTTAACAATCATCTTCCAGGGCTAGGAGACTCCAGGAGACACTATCTCATTCATCTCTGTGCCTGGAGGCAGTAACAGCAAATCAGAAGCCACTCAATTACAGCAGCACACATTTTATGGTTAAAAGCCTGGGGATTTGCTGATGTTGGCAGGACTACTTTACTTGTGTGCAAGTCACCTACTTCAGAGTCTAAGAGAATCTTGAGTCTTGTTCTAGACCCACCCATTCTTATCAGTCTAACCCCAAGATCCTCCTGCAAATGGGAGGGTCCGTAACACAGGGAAAGCAGGGCTCCATCCGGCCAGAGCCACGGGATGAGGGGCGAGGAAGTGGCCCCCAGCGATCCCTTTCAAACCCTTCCCGCCAGCTCTTCGCCTGCATTTAATGCACAGCGCTTCTCTCGTGGCTTTCTTTCCGCCTCCTCCTCTACCAGCCCTTTCTCCTCATTGTTCCATTTTTAGAACAATTTTATTGATGAGAAAGAGAGAAACACTGATTTGTTGTTCCCTTATTTATGCATTTATTGGTTGTTTCTTTTATGTTCCCTGACCAGGGATCAAACCTGCAACCTTGGTGTATGGGGGTAAAGCTCTAGCCAACTGAGCTCCTTGGCCAGGGCCTAACTGTTCCGTATTTTCTGAAGACCCTGCAGCCTGACACGGCCCGTGGCCTTCATCACTGGTGTTCTTAAAGACTAGTTAAATCCTTAAGAACAGGAAGTTAAAACCTTTTCATGGACAACCAACTCCTGGCGAGTTTGCTAGCATCACTGGTTCCGGTTTAAAGCTTCCCCGTCGTTCCTGGGGCCCTGCCCTCCGGGCACGCTCAGCTGCGGAGCGAGTGTGTCCCTTCCCACTGGCAGCCCTGAGCTGAGTGTATATGTCGCCTTGTGATTTTTGTTGAGAGAAGAGAGGTCACAAAGGACCAAACTCAACGACTCTTGGGGAGGAGACTAGGAGGAAACAGAAGAAATAAAGTCTGTGACGCAACTTTCTCTCAGGAAACGGCGTGGAGGGCGGGGTGGATCTACCAGAGGCTCTGGCAGTCTGCTGTGCAGTCTCTCTGGGGGGAAGGCGTAGCCACCCGGGAGGCAGCCTTCGACGCCATGCCCATAGGGCTGGTGTGGTGGAAAATAGCCAGAGAGCAAGACGTCCCTGGAGAAATGCCCTCCCTCTCCTGGACACGCTGGGAACCCAGGCAGGACCGGGGTCTGGCTTTCAGGAGTGGTCCTGAATGATCCTTCAGTTTCCTGGTGGGGACAGAGAGCTCAGCAGACGGTCTTCTCCCCCAGGGAAATCTGGCTGTCCTTTTTTCTTGGTTTACCTAGATTTTGTGTGTTGGTGGATTAGGTACACGTATACACTGGGCCAGGCCATCGGCAAATAATCTTATGAAGGGGGTGGGGGGACTCATTCCTTTACCTCACAGATTCCTTTTCCAACGGAAACACAATCTACCCATGAGCAATACTCCCAGAACCATAAAAAAGGTAAGACAACGGGACATGAATACAACTGGTACCTGCATCCCTCTATCACCTGCTACAACAGGGGGAGAACTAGGGGAAAACCCTGCCGCCGAGACCCACGCTCCTGAGCCACAGCCCAGGTCAGAGGGCAGGGCTGGCTGCCCGGTCTCTGGGCGGCAGAGAGACGCCCGGCCTCTTGGGGTTGGCAGGGGCATCGGAGGCAGAGGTGCTCGTGGGAGGCTCCTCAACGGGGGCACTGAGATCCAGGAATTCCAGGATGATGTCCCAGAGGCAATAAATTAAATGCCTGAAACAAATGAACAAAACAACTTAGAGAAAGGTCTGGCTTCGTCAAGAGACACCAGATCTTGTTTATGACACTTATTTTCCCTCCCCTCACCCCCATTATTGATACCCTTAGTGGACTCTAAACTTGAATAGCTTGTCACAGCCTCTGCCATCAAACAAAAGTCTGTTGACTAAAAGAGGCTATGACCCCAGTAAAGGTAGAAATAGAACCGGGGACTAGATTTTAGGAAATTCTGTATTTATTTACATAGTGACGTTAGCACATCAGCATCATTCCTGTGAGGGAGGGATATCGACTTTCTAGGAATTGTCAGAGCTACTGACCGCTGCTCTTTCTCACGGTTAACCTGTGTAGATTTACTGGTTACCTTACAGGCAATGAGGCAAAGGGACCCGGAGAAATGGGAGTTAATAAACGCTGTCTGCTTTGGGACTGGGTTTGACAGAGGAGTGGATGTAGTCACTAATCTCAGAAGCATTCTACCCCCAGGTACCAGCCAGGGAAAATCCTACCTCTTCTGAATTATTCTAGGAGTGTTCACCTAGCATTTCTGGGTGCTTTACCAAAATCCAGTCTCATTATTAAACAAAGGCAGTTCCGGACCCTAACACTCATCATGGCTTTGTCTGCGGTGAGGCCATGGATCCACAGCTGAAAATCACTGTACGGCCTGTGATGCACAGATGGGGTATGTTCCCAGTGCTCCCAGGGCCTGGCAGGCGTTGGAAAGAACCATCAGACCACTGAGCGAGGCTGGCGGGTGACAGGGCATTTTCAGTAGCTCACGCGTGGGGGCCGGCATCGCGTCCCTCCAGATGCAAACACAGAGGCCGGCCTGACACCAGCTTGCGACCACTGACCAACTGCTCGGGAGCCACCAGCGTGAGCCTCACTTCGTGTGTGTGGGTCTGGCCATCAGACTGCAGTCGGGGCCCGGGCACGGAGCGACGGCGCTTTTGTGCTTCTCCGTGTGGGTGGTTCACTTACACACCCTGGGCCCCCCGGGACCGGAGGAGGCCGCGGCATGCTGACGTGGGGCGCGCGCCTCGCGGCCTACCTGTTGATGAGCGGTTGCCGTAGTGACTCCAGGACGAGGCTCCAGCTCCGCTGGCACTTGTTCGCCCCGAGGATTTCTACCACAACGTCTGAAGAGAAAACACAGGTGCGGTTTAGTGCTGCAGTAACGTCTCCTTGTATGTGCCATCTTTATTTAAGTGGGTATTGTTGGCATACCTCTGAACTACAGGGCCAAACTAAAAATGCTCGGAAAACAAGAGGAAAGCTGTGAAAGAAATTTCTTGTTAGGTGTCTAAGTAAAGATGGGGCCTCAAGAAATAATTTTGTAACCTGCCACTACAGTGCAGGTACCCTGATGTAACAGCTCTGGCTGGAGAACAGAGATTAAAAACAGTAAACAACACTGTCCAGAACTAAGAGGTCACTACTGTACCCCGGTTAACACCGCACAGCCATAGACAAACTGCCTTTCCTGCCCTGAAAAAAAAAAAGGTACAAAGCAAAGAAAATAACCCCTCTTCAGAGTTTGTTTGTGTCCACTGCTAAGGACCATGCACCTATTCCACGTCCCCAGGTTATTAAGGCTGAGCTTCTGCAGGATGTATATTTTCTTCCCTGGTTCATAGGCTGTGCGTTCTCAGAGAACCCAAAGTCTCCGTGCGGTGGGAACGACTTGGAGACCTGCCCCGTGGTGCAGGCAGAGCTTCCCGAGCCTGTCCCAAAGTTATTACTCCAAATGCCTACAGGATTCTCACCTACTATTTACGGTGCGGTCACAGGGATCCTTTCCATCCCCCCAGCGTCACTTGGGAGAGGAGTCAGAGTCGCAGCCCCGATGATTCTCCCACTGGCCTGAGAACTGGCGGGTCAACGGGTTTTGAGTGTAGCCATATTTAAGGGCCTTTTAAACATGGGGAAGGGGTGGGGTAATGGTGGCAAGGCTTCATTGGAAGGGAACAGTTACCAGGATAATCAATCTCATTGTCCAATTACCTGGCAGGACTCCCATCAGGCTCTGCAAAGCCTGTTTCTCAGCTGCCACCTTCTGCTCCTGGGTCCTTATAGGCCGCGGATACTTAGGCAAAACCCCACCAGGCCAGATGGACTCCTGAAGAAGCTGGAGGTACTGCACCCAGCGCTGTGGACATGTCAGGTTAGCCACCTGCACCTCTAGCCACCTGCAGGCAAAGAGCAGTGAAAGGTGAGATAAACCTGAAGGGAAGGGCGCGGCAAGGTGTGACCTGCGTGAGCAATCTGAACAGGGCGAAGCAAAGTCGGCACCGACTCACACACGAAACCAGGCCACCTCCCAGCGGGGGATGGCAGAGTTGGAAGATGAGTAATAACGACGATACCGTTATTCACTGAGTGTCTGCTATGGGCCACGCTTTGCGCTGGGGTCTCCCAGAACACAACACAGGGGCCCTGCCGCTGCGCAGCTTCCCAGCTCTCCCCCGTGTCGGAAGCACTGGAGCTGAGCAGCAGTGCGCGCCCAGCCTTCACAGCTCGGGCTTTGAGGGTTTCACGCAGATCCCTCTCCCCGCTCCGTGTGCACACCCAGTTAATCCTCAAGTCCCCATGACCTGTCTTGAGCACTTCCTACACCTGCCCTTTGCTCGTAATAGTTCTCTCACTGGCAGGGCCCCCTCCTTCCTGGAGGCAGAAGTCCCCCCTTCTGGCTAGGCCTGGTTAACGCCCGCCTCCGCTGCGGAACCCTGACCTCTCCACACAGAAGTGCTTTCTCGCCCCTTACACCTCCACTGGTACCTGGTCCTGCCGCGCACGCTTGAAACTTTTTATTTTGGAATATAAATTTTTTTCTCCTGTGTTTACAGCTTTCCTTTCCCACTGAAATCATATACACCACAAGAGTTCTGTGTTTTATATTTCTAAAAAATTTCCCACAGGGCCTTGGTGCTCAAGAAATTTTTGTTGATTGGTAATTATTCTTATTATTAATAAAAATTTCCCTTTGTCTAAATTTCAAAAATGAGTTATTAACTCTGAGGGGGCAGATACCCCAAGCCTGCAGTTCTTGCAAGGATGTCCACCTTAGAGTCTTTCTTTGTCCCTGCACTTTTTCAGAGCAATGTGGTCACTAGCTGAAGTTCAAGACCAGCGAGGCCTCCTTAGTATACACCATGGTAGAGGCTGGCATGGCTGAGACTGTAGTGACTGGACCATCAACCACTTCTCCTCAGACACGGGAGACCCTCTGGTCCAGCACCACACGCGGCTCCTGCCATCGCTTCCACACCCGAGTTCCCTGTCACCCATGCGAGAGCAGGGGAGGCTGCCAAAGCAAACTTTATTTAACCTCCACTCTGCCAGACAGTCTGCATTCCACTCAAGCTAGGCGTTCCAGCCTTGGGGGCTGCAACCCCCCAAGCCCAGGCCTCACAAATAATTCTAAGAATAGGAAGTCTGAAAGGTAATAGCAGGGCAAGAACGGCAGACAGGCATGGATGGAGATCAAGCGCGGAACAAAGCAGCTCTTGCCCGAAATAGCGACCGCGGCCGCATCTGTTACTATTAGTGCTGCATCTCCTTTTTATAGGGCTTTTCATTCAGCGAGCTAAGATGCCTGATGAAAGGGATCCAGGGGCAAGAATTCCTGTTCCTGTTTATAGAAGACGGCCGCCAAAGGGGCGGATACAATGACCTGATCGGGTTCTCTGCAGGGAAGCAAGTGACCCAACTCTCTCACGCCAAGTTGTCTTCCTTACCTCAAGACCACAATGTGCTTGTGTGACTTCTGCTAAGGTGAATGATGTGTGCTAGGTTCTCATCTAACTGATCTGAGGGAGAAGGACTAGCATTTAGAAACCAAAATGTGTAAGTCCTTCAAAGAGCCAGAATCCTAAACAAGATACCTACAACTAGAATTAGTTTAGCTCATTTTTTCATTCACACACACACATACAGTAAGCCAGTTTGACCTTATTTTTGTCTTCTGGTGCCTATAATGCCAGTGACTCAACTCTTCAAAAGTATCTCAGCATCCACTCAACCCAACGGCAGCTCTGGGTGCTCCTTTTATTCTACGCCTTCCCCTGGAGTGCAGATCCACACGCCACCTGTGAGGGCCTCATTGGACTTGATTAATTCCCTTAGTCCTGCTCAGTTCATCCTGAAACTGAGCTAGAGCAGGGAGAGCAAAGAGTTTAGGCCTTGGAGTATTAAACAAGAGACTGATGGCTTAGCCCCTCCTGATTAGTTCTCTTCATCTTCTACTCCACATGTTGTCTTTCTGTGCTTAGCCTAGGAGTGAGAAGCTTAAAAAGAAACTGCTATCCCATAGTTCTCTCGAAGCAAAAGGAAGGAAGTTCATGTGTCAAAGTTTCTGGAATCTGTGGGTACCACTTAGTATTATGCTAACAGAAATCTAAAGTTTCAAGGTGGAAACACACACATTTATGCCTCTGACAATTAATTATGAATTGTTTATGAGAAACCATTTACACATGCTATTAAATACACATGCTATTGCTTATGTAAAACAAAATGCATGAGGTAAGTATTGCAGACAAGAGCCTCAAGCTATTTTATTTTCTACTATTATTTTGGTTCTGATACTTGATTTAGAGATACCTCCTTCTACCATCATACCTTTTTCCCAAGCAAAAGAGGAAGTAAAAAAGCCCAACTAGGTCGTTCTGTCAGGTCTGTTCTGTCAGGCCATCTCTGAATAATTCAGAACAAATGGAAGCCTTACTAGTGGGTCCAGAAATAGCCAATAAAGTAAGACAAAAAACAACAACAGATTGACACGGAGACATTCAAGAGCTTCTTTGCTGCCAGATGTGGAAGGGGAGAGGATGTGGAGATTAAGGAGCGCAGTCTCATCTATGTTCAAAGGAACCTGGTCTAAAATAGCTTCAGATAGAGGAATGAAGCAGTGGCTAAAAAATGAAACGGTTTAATACTAGGGCTTAGGATGGCACTTCAAGGTTAGTGGAAGGTCATTTCCCACCAAAACAGCAGAATCAAATCTGTGAGTAGGGGAGAAAGCTTTAGGGACCATGTCTAATTTCATTAGCCAAATTCCCTTCATTTCTTTCCTAAGAGCAGCTACGGCTGAGTAAGGAAGGGCCCCCAGTTAAGTGTGGCTTAATGGGGAGCTGGGAAGGATGGCGGCGGAAAGGGTAGCGAAATCAAAACACAGAGAGAGATTCCTAAGAGCAGTAACAGTGTTCTAGCAAAAACGTCCGGTGCGATCTCAATAAAAGAAAACAGACTCATTCCTTGCGCCCTTTCGTCCAGCGGGCTGTGCCTCTGCAGACAACCCAAGGGCGCTTATGCGCCACCCTGATCTCCACTGCACCAGTACTGTTCAAAGAAAGGGGAAAAGGAAGATCAGGTCAAAGCTTCTCTCATTCTAAATAGTAGATTAGAAGTGCCAACGCATTTACTGCCTTAGAGCAGGGTTTTGAACGGCTAATTCTTTGCCGTGGAAGGTGGTCCTGTGCATTGTGAAATGTGTAGCAGCATCTCCCTCTCCGCCATGAGTTGTGAGACAATCGAAGCCGTCTCTAGACATTGCCACGCGTCCTCTGAGGGACTAAACGTTCTCAGTTGAGAATAACTGCTGTAGACCTTAGAAGCTTTTGGATGCCATGGATTGGGCCATTTTTACAGTCATTTTAAAACTGGTGGCTGTCGAATGACATTTTTCAAATTGTGGGATGAACAGCATTAGAAGCCATGTAATCAGCTTTGTGGTTTATGACATTTAAATACATCTAGATAAAAACAGATTAGAACAGAAAACAAAGGCGCATCTCATGTTTTGGGACTCTTATGTTTCATATACTATATGGATATATCAGCTGTGTATTTATTTGTGTGTGTGCATGTGTTCATAAAGGGTCATCAAGTAAAATGTATTTCTTACTGTGGGCTGAAGTTTTGGAAAAGTTTGAAAAACAGTGACACTGATATAAGAAATTAGAAATTTCAAGGAAAGGGGGGAAAGCCCAAACCACATTTTTAGCCTCCTGGAAACACTCCCCACTCCCACCCACCCCCAAGCACCCCGTAAAATGTTTATAATGGCAAGAACCACGAGCACTGTGTTCTGTACCACAGTCCCCGCGCGGCACTATGAGCGTCTGCTCCTTAAGTGACAGTGTCCATCTGCGGCCACAGAAAGGAGATCTGGAGGGGGGTGGCGTCGGCCGGGCCCTTCCCATTACACAAGTTGTTTTTGCCAATTTCACACCTGATAAAAGTAACACTTCTCCTCCTTCTGATTCCTTTCCCAGGCTTCTCCTTCCTGCCTTAGCCCCCTGTGTTTATCCAGTTTCAGCCGGCAGCTCTCAGCTCTAGGCCTCTCAGCCCTCGAACCACCCAGGCCCAGGTTACTAGCTGTGTCTGAGGAAGTTCAGCACTGTTACCCTGGCTGTGTGTTGAGGTCACCGTCCTTTTCTATTGGGAGAATGAGGGGGAAATGCACTTCAAGGGCAAGAAACTCTTTTTTCTTTCTCCCAATGACTATTGTAAAATCTAACATGGCTCATGAGTCTACATAATTTGATTTCTGCTTTTGTTTTAAATCACAGGCCCACATCTTTAAAACACGTGCTTCAAGAATAGATTAAATACTGCCTGAACACCACAATTTAAGAATCCAAGCTCCGTACTTTTATATCTAGCCACAAAGTTTTTGTTTTTGTCTAGTAATGTACAAGTTATGGATATAAAATGTATTAAGGATTGGAGCATTCTTATTTAAGGAAGGAAGTTAAAGAAATCTTCTGTTGAATCTTAGAGGTTATCCATTCCAATCTCATCAATTCACATAAAAACACTGAGAACCAAGGAGCACTTCACAGCAACAGGCTACTTCAGGGTGGGAAGAAAATGGAGAGGTTACTCCTATCTAACCTCCTCACAATGTAGAAATCCCCTGTGTAACATCACGGCATAGCCAAGGGCTCTAGCTGTGAATTCAGAAAGCTGGGCTTCTATTTTAGCTTCCCCACCAACTAGGAATGTGACTTTGCGGTAGGTGCATAATCCCTGAAAAGAATAATTTCAATTCATTAGAGATGTTTCTTACATAATGGCAACCAAAATCCGCCTCTTTGTAATTTCTACTCATTACTTACTTGAACCCCTTAAGTTAATAAGAGACACTGAAGTTACCAGGTCAAATCTCTCATAAGCCAACACTTTG